CTGGAGTTCTTCCCATCATCCTTGTTTATTTTTCACCTCCTAGAATAGAACCCAGGATATTGTGCTTCCTGGGCAAGCATCCTGACAAGTTGTTGCAGGGATATCATGAGTAAATTCACTAGTCTATTTATAAATTTTAAATCTGTATTTAAAAATCACTGAACTCGATACTAAAATTTGATGATGCAGCTCTGTTCTGTGTCTGTTTCTTATACAGATCCCTCTCTGCAAGTTGAATCAAGAGAGAGTAGAACTGTCATTACATAAACTATGCTGAATGTAAAAGGTTAAACGAAACAGGAACTTTCAAGTCTAGTTGCTACCAAGATGTATATATTCCATGCACTGCTAAATGTGAGCAGTTTTGGCTTCAAAGATACTTGGGCGTAAAAATGTATGGAGTCCTGACACTTGTCTAATACCTGTTGGTGTGCGTGCAGCTTCCTGATGTATTTCATCTCAGACTGATGGAATTAATCTTTTTTTCCAATTTTTTAAAATTCTTGAATTATTTAACTTTTTACACATGTTACTCCCAGCTTCCTCGCCCTCCTCTCCTCCCCATCCCATCCCCCAACATCCCACTCCATCCCCCATCTGATCCCCATGGACGGTAAGGCCTTCTATGGGGGGATTTTCAAAGTCTGTCATGTCATCCTGGGCAGGGCCTAGGCCCTCCCCCATGTGTCCGGGCTGAGAGAGCATCTTTCCATGTGGAATGGGCTCCCAAAGTCCATTTGTATGTCAGGGATAAATACTGATCTACTATCCGAGGTCCCATAGATTGCCGAGGCCTCCTCTCTGACACCCAGGTTCAGAGTGGGGGTCTGGATCAAAGCCATCCTGGCCTCTCAGACACCGGTCTGAGGTCCACTCGTTCTCCCTTGTTTAGGTCAGCTGCCTCTGTGGGTTTCATCAGCTAGGTCTTGATTCCTTTGCTCATCACTCCTCCTTGAGGCTGAGTTCCAGGATTTCAGGTTGGTGTTTAGCTATGGGTGTCTGCCTCTGCTTCTATCAGCCACTGGGTAAGGGTTGATCATTTAATATTGCCTCCATGAAGTGTTGCTAGTCAGCTAAATACTTTTACTCCAGTTTGGATCATAATAATTATAGTGGCTGATGTAAAATAGGCTCATGTATTTACATCAAGCCCTACTTTGATCTAGGATGGCATATAAGGTAGTCATCAATCTCATTATCAGGGAAGGACATTTAAGGTAGCCTTAATGCCAGTTGGTGTCATTCTTGCAGATCTCTGAAAATCTCACTAGTGTCAAATCTCTCCTCAAACCTATAATGGCTCCCTCTATTATGGTATCACTCATCCAGCTCTCCTCTATTCTTACCCTGACTCAACCTTCCTGCTCCCCCATGTCCTCTTCTGCCCTCCTTTTCTCTACCTCTCTTTCTCTCATCTCTCTCTCTCCTCCCCTCTCCCCATTCTCCTCAGGAGATCTTGTCCCATTCCCCTTCTCCTGGTTACCATGCATATCTCTCTTAGGGTCCAAGAACTTTGAGTCTCTAAAGAAAGAAATTAAAGAAGATACCAGGAAATGGAAAGATCTCCCATGTTTTTGGATAGATAGGATCAACATAGAAAAATGACAATATTGCCAAAAGCAATGCAGAGATTCAATGCAATCCCTATAAAATGCCAGCACAATTCTTCACAGACCTTGAAAGAACAAACCTCAACTTTATACAGAAAAACAAAAGACCTAGGATAGCAAAAACAACCCTGTACAATAAAGTAACTTCATGGGGCATCACCATCTCTGACTTCAAACTCTACTGTAGAGCTATCATCCAGAAAACAGCTTGGTATTGGCACAAGAATAGACAGGTAAACCAATGGAAAACAATTGAAGACCCTGATATTAACCTACACACTTTGAACACCTGATCTTTGACAAGGAAATAATCTATCTTACCCACACTTTTCCTTTAGTTTTGATTAGGGAAACCTGTTGGTTTTCCTGCATTCTGTGGACATCTGTTGCTTAGTTTTGATTAGTTATCCCTGCTTTCATGATTATGAGGTTTACTTTAAGAGACTGCAAGATATTTAAGTAGAATCAAGGCACAGTCCTTATCTACACACAGATACACAAAAGTTAGTGTTGAATATCACTGATACAACAGAAGTTAGTGTTGAATAGCATCATTTTTAATTAATTTAAATTTCTATTAATTTAAAAAACTTCTAGTCTATATCACATTAAAGAGTATGTCTGATTAAAATAGATATGGCACAATGAAGCCAAGTTTAGACAATAAAAGAATACATTTATTATTGCTGGTCAAAAGCACCTGAGGGTATGAAGCACTGCAAATTTTCGTCAGTGCAACCAGTTAAATAGAATGAACGTGAAAAAATATATGCAACTTGTTTTGTAAATGTTAATAGATAGCTTTTATAAAGTTTAATGGATAGCTTTTAAAATTATTTTCCTTAGTTCAGGTAAAAAGGACACTAACTTTTACATTTATCAAGAGCTTTAGTAAATAAGACAGCCGTATATTAAAGTTATAAATATCTAAATAAATGTATACAAGAAAATAGTGTAGAACCAAACTCAGGCAAATCTTTAGTCCTCTCTGAATATAGTTTCTCTACCTCGGGAGTTAGACATCTTGCTAATTATGCAGTTTGTTTGCAGAGTATAAATGGATGACTCTTGGACTGTGGTCACTTTCAGGAATGGTGTTTTTGATGATCACATAAATGCTAGATATTTATGCTTTTCTGCCTTTTTTCTGCCAAAGAGTAAGCACAGCTGTGGTTATTAAAATGTTAAGGGTAAGTCTCTGATATTAGCCCTGCCGATCCTAGGAATTAAGCAATGCTTGCTTTGCACAAAAAACAGCTGCTATGAAATCATAACGTAAGAATTTTCTTTTCAGATTTCATATCAGAGACGAGGAGACTAGAAAGAATTAATAGTCCCCTTGCCATTTGGAAAATAAATAGATGTTTTCTATTTTACTTAGATTTTCTAGAAACCAAATTAAATTAATAATACAATGCAGCTATGGTCTGGATTCAAGCATAAATTTTCATTACTTTCCTGGGTTATGACCATGTGGACATTTTGGATGATCAAAATATCTGTAACTAGAGACTGGGTTGTCTCCTTAAGGGGATGCTATTTATTGTCACTTTATTTGTTGTTGTTGTTGTTGTTGTTTTTACCATATGTTATTAATCAGGAATGATGCTTATCAACAAGCAGCAGACCTATTTTACATGAAAAAGTTTGTGATTACCCCTCCAGTGAAAGTCAGACAAAAGAACACTTAAGTGTTAACTGAGTGATTTTATTGCTTAAGATACAAAAGGCAACAAGACAGGACAGATTTATTTTCTCAGATGCCCCCAGGGATGTCATGGACATTATCCATGACATAGGCATTAGTGTTCTTTAAAAGGTGGATAGGGCATAGTCCAGTTAAGGGATGGAGGAAACTGAAAGTCACAAGGTAGTTAGTTTTTTTAATGTTGTCAACCCAAAAGACAGTTATCACAGAAAGTAAAAAACAAGATCATCCACAGAGAGATTTTAGAAATACGATATGAATTAAATAACAAAATGATAGATAACATTAATTATAAAACAAAATATAAATTACAAATAGCTAAGCAAAGAAATTAGTGGATGTAAATTTTTGTGACTAAACTGTAGAAACACATACATTTATTCTCTGCTTTTAGAGATTAAAAATTAGGTGGAAGAGCTAAAATTGTGGTGGTTCTTATGCGTCATCCATGAAAAACATAATTGTTCCTAATACTCTACAGTGGTGAGTAGGAATAATTGTGTTAATAAGAATGGACCTATGAAGAAAAGAAAAAAATAAAAGTATAGAAAACAAAATTCCTCGATTAAAACAGATTGAATGAGTACCCACAATTCATGTTTAGGTATAGAATTACAAATGAAAAGAGGCAAAGCTTTAGTTTTTCAACATGAGTCAAAACGAAGTGAAATTGAAGTATGGAAAAATTAAACCACTGCAAATTCAAAATAAATTTAGTGTCGATTATAAACAGACAGCATAAAGTCTACAGTGTCAGGGAAGACTTATGCTGTGTACTACAAGGGTGATTCCATCATAGAGGGTATATTAAGGTGAAGCTGACATAATAACATTTTGAAAACTAATAGTATACAAAACAGAAGCTGACAGAATTTAAAGGACTTTAAAAAATTAAAATAACAGTTTAATGCTCTATTTCATAAATGTGTCAAAACAAAGAAATACATGTGTTTGAAACATATAATTATTAATGTTGATAAAATTAATACAAATCCATAAAGTACTCTATAAATTAAGGTAAATATAACTTAAGAGTTATTGAAATGTAAGATATATACAATTTATTAAGAAACAGTTGATATGTTTTACTATAAATTCAGAGTTTAAAAATTACTATACTGCTAACACTGATTATTAACTCATAATTTTACATTTTCTTAAAAAATTAGAAAATGATGATGAGAAATCTGTGAAGAAAATAGACTCTAGAAGTACATACTGTGTTTTTCCACCTTGTTTTTATCACTGTAGTTAAATTGTATCAGAGAACACACAAGAAGCAATCTTAAGAACTTAGTATTTGAATGAAGACAAAGATCATAAAACATTGTAAAACAAAGCTGTGTGACAAAGCTATGTCAGGGAAATAACAGCATTCAATATTTAGAGTAGATGAGAATAAAAACTGAAAAATAATGTTACTAAGATAGGGTAAGCCAAGCAACAATCAAACGACGGGGGTAGATAGTGTAAATAAAGCAGAAACTAATAAGGCAAGCAAACAAAAGTCAAAGGGATGGTCTGCCAAGACAACTGGTTATCAGAAAACATGTAGTAATGAAATTAAAACTGAAGAGGAACACATTCTCATTACTTTGCTTTTTGAAATGCATTGCAAATATTTATCCTTAAACTAACTGTAGCTCTCTGCCTACACCAAAAAAACCCTCCTTTTGTCGCAGATGAAGACTATTATAAAGATCTACAGCTGTTTAAAATGCAGAAAATAAGGAGCCATAGAATGCCCAACATCCAGTGGATGTCTACAGTGCAAATATCTCAATGTTAGGAGCATCATGGAAGAAGGGATGGAAAAGTTTCTTCAAAGGTATCTGAAAAACTGTAAATAATTTAAGTGATGAGCTAATTACCACATTGCTTTCGTCATCTTAATAATGCATTTTCATTTGTGCAGTTCAGTTCTCTTTTGATACTTGCTCCTTATTCTGTGTTTTACTCTGTTCCTCATTACATGTAAGTATAACACCGGTTAATACACAGCTGTTAAGTCTAACTCTTCAAACCAAGAAACCTGCATTGCATTATTTGCTAAGTATCTATTTAAAAAAGGAGGAACTGATTGAAAGCTGATTTCCTGCTAAAACTTTTAGTAACTTTCATACAAATTAGTGAATTTAGAAAATGTTTGTGAAGGTGTTAATTTTGAAATTGCTGAAAAAAGACAACAAAAGCTTTATATGTTTGATATTTGAATTATCATTGTACCCGTACATTTCTCTATATATTTGATTCCACAGTATATCTTTCCAATACGCATTTTGTATTACCCTTCTAATCTTGAATAAAATTACTTCTAAACCTGAAAGTTTAAAACTAAAGATAAATTTCTTTATGTTTCTGTGGTGAAGGACCTTGAGCATAGGCTGACTTGCTGTTTATAACTTTATGCCTTCCAAAAAAGAGCCATTACACATACAACAGTGTGATAGTTAAAGGCTCTGCAAAATGGGGACAGATCTACATGTCACCATGGCATGTTTCCTGTTTCTATCCCCTGGTTAGACACATTATTTGTTGTCCTGTAGTTGTATTCAGTTTGCTTCTACTTCATATGAAAATGGAGAAAAACAGAGAGGAAGAGAAGATATAAAACCTTCCACCATATCATGGATGTATTTTGTAAATGATATCTTGTCATTTCTGTCAAGTGTTGATCATTAAACATTGTTTATCAGAATTCCTCATAGTAAAATGCAGGGAATTACACAAGGACACAAAGACCTAGTATACCACTAACACCTTGATCGAAGCTTCTAACACTAGCTGGATGTTGGTGGTGCACGCCTTTAATCCCAGCACTCAGGAGTCAGAGACAGGCTGATCTCTGTGAGGGTAGGCCAGCCTGGTCTACAGAGTGGGTTTCAGGAAAGCCTCAAAAACAATGCACAGAAATCCTGTCTCGAAAAACAAAAACACAAAAAACAAACAAACAAACAAAAACCAAACAAAAACAGCTTCTAACTATACTTACTAAAAGAAAAACCAGGAGAAAATGGCATTTGACTGAATTAATTACTTTTATATATTTCAATAAGAGATCTCCAGGTTAATTATTATGGTTTCACAAGCCCAAATTTCTGTGTTATCTCCAAGTATATGGATGGAGTGGCACATTTTCTTTAAAGTATGCTTTAAGCCCAGTGTGAATTGTAGTGATGCTGATTGACCATTTTTATTTCAATTGATATTTTATAAAATGTTGTTTCTTTTTCTTCAAAGTCTTTCTTTATTATTTGAAAATTATTAGATGATCTTGTTCTGCCTTTTCTTTTTGGACTTATAGCATTTTCTTCTTTCAGGATGTTAATGCACACACACACACACACACACATGAAAGATACTGCTATTTCAACAACATCATGGATTATTAGAAGTATGTAATAGTCATTATTAGAATATATTTGTAGAATCTTCTTACCATGATAACTTATGTTATTAAAATTTGGAATTTTTAAATAATTCTGAAGCATTTAAGTCTTTCCATTTTTCAAGACTGAGGTATCACATACAATATATTTTACTATCACTGCAAGGTAAGTATGTCTGTTTGTTACATAGTACTTGAAAAGAAGTCTTTATTAGAGAGTATTTAACTAAGTTCATATTAAATACAACTCTTTTGTTAAGCAGTCTGGCATTCCTTTAAACATATCTGAAAGAAAATCAGACAAAAATATTAAAATAAATGCAAGTAGTATAAGTTCACAACATTGTAAACTTGCTCCACTGAACAGTTGAATGACTGTACAGGGGTAGATTGAGCCACAGAAATGAGATATAAAATGCATATTGGTTGTAATGCTATTGGATGATTAATAGAAGACCCAGGTAAGTATTAGACAGATTTCTGATTCCAGAAACTACTTGAGATAAGGGTTTCTATACACTGATAGATTTTCAGTAAAAGAAATGATGGAAATAAAGACTATCAGCATACATGTGCCTACAAGAAAATTCAAAATATTTAATGAATTTACAGATCTGTAGGGAACAGAGACAAATCAAATCAATTGGTTGATCAGGGAAATTTTAAAATGCTTCTCTTGGTAATTGGTAAATTAGGCAGAGAAAAGCACTAAGAATAAAAATGACTTTAATTGTGCAATTAACCAATTTGGTGTAGTGGATAAGTGCACATTATAATCAAGAACAGAAGAATTTACCCTAAGCATGAAAGAACATTTATAAAAAATGACCACATACTGTGGTATGAAGCAAAACTTATCATGTTTTAAAGATTTATTATCACCTAGAAAGTACTCTCTTTGTACATAATAAGTCAAATTAGTGATCAATTATCATGAGCACAAAGATACTTAAAGGATGACAATTTCTTATGAGAGGGGCTAGAATGTAAAACTCTGTAGGTTTATAGCTCAAGAATTTCAGGGAAGCAATAGTTAAGCAAATATCTGAGTAAAATGGAGTTAATCAAAAAGAGATTTTTGTAGAGCTATCTTCCCCTATACCTGAAAATATGGAGCAATAACAGAAATATGTCTAGTGTGACAGTTATAGATGCAACAGTTATGGACTGATATGGACACCATATAGCTGGAGAGTTAATGAGTGACCTATGAAAACAGATAGTGTAAGATGTTCTAAAGGCCTTGAGCTTTGTCCTAATTGGATAGAGACTAGAGAAACTTTGAAAATGGAAGGAAGAATGTTAACTTGAAATTTAACAAGAATTAACATATACTTTGATAGGTTCAATTCACTTTGTCTTTACATAATGAAGAGATCACAAGGCAACAACAGATGGCATCATTTGAAAACTATGTTAAGAGGCTGGAAACATGACTCAGAGTTAAAGGTCTTGGTGTATAAACATGAGGATCAGTGTTGATCCCTAAAAGCTATATAGAATCTTGGTAATTGTGGCAGTTCACCACTAATCCCAGAAAAGAAAAATATGAAATCCCTAGAAAAGTCTGGCTAGACAGAGGGGTTCTGGATTCAGCTAGAGAACCTTTCACAATATGTAAAGTAGAAAACAAAGACATTTGACTTCAACTTCATGCTTCTACATGCGCATGTTACACTATCCCTATATTGCCATACTTATATGAGCATGCATAACACAGGAATGCACAGCACATATACATATATAGGAAAGAGAGGGGGTGAGAGAGAGTGTGTGTGTGTAAGGATGGAAGGGAGGAAAGAAGGAAGGAAGGAAGGACAGAAGGAAGGAAAAGAAAGTGAGAAAGCAAAAGATTAAAAGGGTATTGTGCAATTAAAATTAATTGAACACCTAGAAGTCAAATTAGAAATAGTGAACCATATGTAACAGGTGTAATAAAAGTACATAAGCAGATATTTGGTTTCATGTGGAAAGATCAGAGAAACAAAGCAGCCATACAGTAGCTATTACATCTACCAAGCTGAAGCAATCCTGCCCTCAACCTGGCTGGAGACCAATGTGCACCATACTGAATATCTGCTACTATTTTATATAACCCAAGTGCTTCGATTAAAGGCATAGGATCCCAAGCATTGAGATAATCTTTGTGTGAGCTATTTCTCTTTTAGACTGGATCAATTTCATGTAGTTCAATGTGGCCTTGAACTAACAGAGATCCATCTGCCTGTCTCTAGAGTCCTGAAATTAAAGGTGTGTACCACCACTCCCTGGCTCTATGGCTTGCTAGTATTGCTGCTGGGATTAAAATTGTGTATCACTCCTGTCTGACTTCAATGGCTTGTGGATAGCTTTGCATTCTGAACCCTCAGGTAAGCTTTATTAAGTCATAAATAATATATCACCACAATTCACCTTTTTTGTTTAATACAAAAAACTCTACAACTAACATAAAACTATATACAATAAGTATATACAATATAAACTGGTAATAAATATCAGCAATGCCTAATCCATTTTCATTTGACAAATTCAGAGAAAATACTCCATTATCTATTCTCCTTTGATGAGTTCAAAGTCTCATATGTAATTTATTTTCTATTCTAATTTGCATTATAAAATTGCCATTTTACGTTTTACCTTACATGATTTACATTTTAGTGAGTTTCCTTTCAGAGTCTGGTAAGCAAGGAAAACTGTAACTATACCATCTAGTCTTCAACTTCTCAGAGACCTGAGAAGGGATTAATATTAGCTGAGTAAGCAGGAAGTGTGACCAAGCACCTTCCAAAAACTGAGAAATGACAAAATCATCTGGATTTCTGAACAGTCAACCAAGGATCCTCTGCAATGTTGAAGCATCCATCTTGGCCTACAGGCATAGGATATCTGACAGGCATCTCTGTGAATCAGGATGTACTGAAGATCTGACTTAAACTTGTCTTGGAAAGATTTCCAGTCACTCTTTTTGGTGTCCTGTTTGCTCAATTTGGACAGTATACTGTCAGTAGTTGAGGCAAGGGCAATTTCTTTCCTATTGGCTTAACTTTGGCACAAAGGAGGTAAACTCCATTTGTAGTTTCTTCAGTGCCCATCATCTCCAACATAGATTGGTGCTGCCAGGAGCAACCATGTCTCATTGTCATAAAAATACCTATGATATTAAAGCAGCTTTCTTTTCCATATATTTTTTAAACTTTTTACACATGTCACTTTCAGTTCCCTCTCCCTTCCCTCCTCCCCCACACCCCAATCATCCCAACCCATCACTTCCACTCCACCCCCCCTCCTCTGCTCCTCAGGGAGAGATTTTCAGGGTCTGTCACATCATCCTGCGAAGGGCCCAGGTTCTTCTCCATGTGTCCAGGCTGAGAGAGCATCCCTCCACGTGGCATGGGTTCCCAGAGTCCTTCTGTACGCCAGGAATAAACACTGCTCCACTCTCCCAGTTCCCACAGATTGCCAAGGCCTCCTCTCGGTCAACCGGGTTCGCTGGGTGCTCGTCTGGATCTGTCCCATGCTGGCCCCTCAGTTATCAGTCTGGGATTCATGTGTTCCCCCTTGTTTAGATCAGCTGCGTCTGTGTGTTGATGCCTTTGGTCATCACTCTTCTTTGCAACTGAATTCCAGGAGTTCACTTCAGTTCACAGCTGTGAGTGTTTGCCTCTGCCTCCACCAGCCATTGGATGAGTGTTCTAGGATGGCATATAAGGTAGTCATCATTCTCATTATCATGGGAGGGCATTTAAAGTAGCCTTAATGTCAGTTGGTGTCATTCTTGTAGATCTCTGAAGATCTCACTAGTGTCAGATCTCTCCTCCAACTTATACTGGCTCCCTCTTTTCTGGTATCTCCCATCCTTTTCTCCTCTATTCTTAGCCTGGTTCAACCTTCCTGCTCTCCCATGTCCTCCTCTCCCCTCCTCTTTCTCTCTCTCTTTCTCCCATCTCCTTCTAACCTCCCCTTCTCCCCACCCCAATCCAATTAGGAGATCGCATCCCCTAACCCTTCTCCAGTTTACCATGCATATCTCTCTTAGGGTCCTTCGTGTACCCCAGACTCTCTGGCGGTGGGGTTGTGGGCTGGCAATGCCCTGCTCCATGTCTAAAATCCATATATGAGTGAGTACATTCCATGAATGTCTTTTTGTGACTGGGTTACCTCCCTCAGGATGGTTTCTTCCAGTGCCATCCATCTGCCTGTAAATTTCAAGCTTCCATTTTTTTTCCTGCTGAGTAGTACTCCATTGTGTAAATGTACCAAATTTCTCTATCCACTCTTCAGTTGAGGGACATCTAGGTTCTTTCCAGGTTCTGACAATTACAAATAATGCTTCTATGAACATAGTTGCGCAAATGTCCTTAATGTATGAGGGTACATCTTTTGGGTATATGCCTAAGAGTGCAATTGCTAGATATTGTGATAGACTGATTTCCATTTTTCTAAGGAATCTCCATACTGATCTCCAATGTGGCTGCACAAGTTGGCATTCTCACCCGCAGTGGAGGAGTGTACTCCTTTCTCCACATCCTCTCCAACATAAGCTGTCATTAGTGTTTTTTATTTTAACCATTCTGACGGGAGTAAGATGGTATCTCAGAGTTGTTTTGATTTGCATTTCCCTAATGGCTAAAGATATTGAGCACTTTCTCAGGGGTCTCTTGGCCACTTTGGAATCCTCTATTGAGAATTCTCTATTTGGTTCTGTACCCCATTTTTTAATTGGATCCTTTGGTGTTCTGGAGTCTTGCTTCTTGTAAATTTTGGAGATCAGTCCTCTGTCAGATATGGGGTTTGTGAATATCTTTTCCCATTCTGTGTACTGTCGTTTTTTCTTGTTGACTGTGTCCTTTGCCCTTCAGAAGCTCCAAGCATCTTAAACACCATATTCTGTACATCACTGAAGTGTTTGACAATGACCTGTCTTTCAAAAAGATATCTCGGTTTGAGCTTGAAAGCATATCTAATGTGACAACAATTTCAATCGCAATAGGTGACTAATTACTCACCTACATTTCCTTATTATATTATATAGTTGGTAATAATTACTTTCAAGTACTAGAAATTTGCATTACATTGTTAAATGTGCTGTATAGGCACAGTACCTAGAACAAGATTGGAAATTTATGTAAAGTCTGTTTTAACCAATTAATTTCAAACATGCATCAATATACAATATATGTACACTACATATAAAAGTCCAGTTCACTGTAAAATATTTAAGACCAATAGTTGCTTTTAAAAAGTAGCTCCAATAATCTCCCTTTTAATCTAATCATAGCTATATCCTCCCTTTTTTATTTTCAGAGCAGACTCAATAATTTACCCTTTTATCCTACCTATATTCCTATTTTTTCAAAACAAATTCTTCAATCTAATCCCCTTTGTTCAACTTTCTTCCTGATGATAACAACAACAGTTTATAACCAGTCTTCCTAAATAATGAAAAATATCCACAACCCAATTATTGACCAAAACCCACCCAATCCCCTCTTGGGAATGTGGGCATTAAGTCCTTAAAGTTACTTCCTGCTGTCTGGGGGTGATGGCATCTTTAGGAGATCCTGAAAAGAAAAAATTGGCTAACTCTCAAGCTATATCATTTTTGTCCAGTCTCTCTGCATAGTAGGAAGGTACAAGGCTTATTTCAATTTCTGTCTAAAGCAATCTGTGAGGTTGGATCATCTCAGCTAGGGACCTTGAAATTGTTCTGAACAGTGTCTATGAGGCTGTATCCTCTCAGTTGGTCTATTCAAAATAGTTCTGAGCAGAGTCTGTATTTTATAAAAGTAGATTCAATAATGTACCTCTTCATCTTATGATATCTATATGCTCCCTTTTCTACTCCGCAAAGTATATTCAATAACCCACCCTTTTTATCCTATCAACCTCATTTTTTGAAGTGGTATTAATACAGTGTTAATACTCTTATACAATGGTGCACAGGAAAGATTGGTTCAAAACTGTTGGCTTGAGAATCATCTATGAGGCATCCCATCAAAGAAGAAAATGACAACTATAGTAAGAGTGTTGGAGATAAAGCTCAGTGATGAACAGATTTTGCCAGTCTTCCATACAACATAATATAGATTCCAAGCATTCACATGGTTTCTCACAACCTTCTGTAACCTCAGTCCCTGGGGGATCTGATACCTTTGTCCCCCAAGGGTACAAGGCACACATTTAATGGGTATGTATGTAGACCAAATATCTTATACATAGCTTTTACTCCTAATTTCAGGTGTCTTTTGTACAAGAAGGTGCTCTACATGCTACCAAAAGGCAAACATAAACACCAAGCTAGTGACTAACTCTTTGGTTTAAAATTGTACTGTATGAAAGATCTGATGAGGCGATAATGGCAAAAAGTTTGAGTGAGTAATCAATCAATGACTGATCTGACTTACGGTGCACTCCACACTCCAAGAGATGGAACCCATACCCATCGCTGTTTGGATGACAAGGATCAGGAGCCTGAGACTGGCTAGTCCAAGGACCCAAGGCAAAATCAGATTATACTGGTCTAAAAAACTGCAATGATAAAATGACTTAATGATATTCCACTATTCTCAGAGATCAGTGGCTTGCTCAACCATCATCAAAGAAGCTTCCTCCTACAGCATGTGGGAACAAATACACCCACAGTCAGTCATCATGCAAAGAGTGACAAACCTTAAACCATTTAGCTCTAAATGGGATGTTTTCAATAAATCCACTTCAGATCCCAGGGATCCCCACAGAATTAGATGCAGGAGTATAAGAGCCAGAGGGGATAGAGAGCACTAAAAAATCCACGTCCTCTAAACCAACATGAGCAAAGCTCATATGAACTCACAGAGATTGAAACAACATACAGAGGGTCGGTTGGGTCTTCTCCAGATTCTCCACATACCATACACATTATGGCTTCTAGTTAAGAGTTTTAGGTGCAACCATGTAGGTCTTCGATTCTTGTGCCTTCTCTTGAGCTCTTCCTGTCTGTTGATTTGCCTTATAATATTTTGATGTAATAGGTTAATCTCCTGTATTTTGTTACATTTTTAAAACCAATTGATTAATTAGTTGATGAAAACAGAACCTCTCAGATATAACTTAGCAAATATACACTGTCACTTATACCTGCTAGAAGAGGAAAAATCAGTTTTCTTCAATGCAGTGACACTGGGTATATTAAACACTCTAGGACAGGTCTCATATTTAGGAGCAGTTGACAAACATACAATTGACTCCACAAGTTTTTGTTTATTCTTTGTGTGCTCTCATTTGCTTATATATTTTTTCTTTGTCTGTGTTGCAATATTTTCTTTGTAGGTTAGGTTGTTAGTTATATTGGGTCTTCGTGGGTTTTTGTATAATTTTTTTTCTTAGAAAG